TACCCTACCTGATCTTCCTTGTGACTTTTCACGTTTGTGGCATTCTGCCTGCCTTCTCAGAGTTGGATACTTCACTACTAGCAGACCTAATATGAACTCCTTTCTTTCAGCAGGTATTCGCTTTGTTCTATGTTGGAATTTATTGTAAGCCAAAAGCATGTTGATAGTTCCAAAAAACACCATGAAACCCTAAGGGAATGTGAAGTCTTTAGCTCTTGGATGGTGTTATCTGGAATATTTGGACATGTGTGGCAGAGATGGTCTAAAATACACGTTCACCTGCAGAGGAGAAAAGTGCACATAAGAAGACTTCATCAAGTTAAGATTATATCACTTGATCAGCTGACCTTGCCCTAGAGCAGTGATAGAGAATGAACCTTTTAGAGCTTTCAATGATAACAAACAGCCGTTTCAGCAAGTGTTTCATGGTTTGCCATAATTGCCTTAGAGTCTCAACTCAGAAAGCAGTCTGAGGGAAAGATGCAAACTTCCTTCAAAATAATTTAGTGAAACATTGCCTCAGAACAGAAAATAAGATAAAATAATAAAAAGGGCTGAGGATATAGCATAGTGACTTTAATCCCCAGTGCAGCAAGAAAAATTAATTAATTAATTAATACCAAACAGGCAGATAAAGCAATAAACTTCCTGGAGGGCAGTTTACCAATATGCATCAAGATCCCCTACAAGCAGGCCACAGTGGAGTGCACCTGTAATCCCTTTACTATGGAGACTGAGGCAAGATGATTGCAAATTTGAGACAACACTGTCTCAAGATTTAGAAAGGGCTGGGGGTGTAGCTGAGTAACAGAGTGCTTGACCAGCATTTGTAAGGTGCTGTTCCAATCCCTAGCACAGCAGGAAGGTTGGATGGGGAGAACAAAGCCTGAACACTGTTTATATCCCTGGCTCACTAATTCCTCTTTTAAAAATCAAGCATTAGGAAATATATCCAGGGAGGTAAAAAAAGTTTATGTTTCAGAATGTTTGTTTATAATGGTAATTTCTGCTGGAAAAATATCAGTCCTGCTTTTTAAAATACACATCCGTACATATATTCACATGAAAATTCCAACAAGAAATATACCAAAATATCAACTGTGAGATTATTTTTGGGTGGAAAAATTGCAGTTAATTTTTATTTATTTAAAAACAAGTTTTGCAGTGCTGGGGATTGAACCCATGGCATGTTAGGCATGGGTTCTACCCCTGTACTGCAGCGCTAGCCCCTGCAATTGATTTTTAATGTTCCTGTTAATATTTTCTTGGAATTCTCAGAACTTTCTACAATAAATACATTATGTCTTTTATAGTTACAAAAATAGTATATAGTGCTTTTTAAAAAATTCTTTCAGATAATGCCTTCTTCAAAGAAACTAAAGCAAAAGAGTTAAAACTAGTTGTTAGGGAGAAGGGCTGTTCCAGCCTTCCCTGGGGGTCATCTGGATAGAAGGCAAATTAAAACCTGGAAGTTTAAAGTCAATCAGTTTGTCTTAATGGGCCTTAGATGGGAAAACTTCAGTCATTTCCCTTGCCTGGCACTCTGTGGTCAGAGGATGAAATCCAGTCATGGGGTCAGTTGGGTTTATACATTCCATGGCAAACCAATTTGGCCACTGCTCTGCATTTCCCAAAAGTTCTCTGACTTCCTGGACAGGAATTGGGAGCACAGGGAAACCTTTATGCTACTTGCTGCAGCACATCTGGTTTACAGCATGTGCCAGATGGGCTCTCTTTCATCTGGGGAGACGGGAAGGAGGGCACACACGAGCCTCTGTAGATCCAAGGGACTTCCTTAATGGCGGCTCTAATATTTGGTGGTGTTTCCAGTTAAGATGTGAGTGTATCGCAGGAGTCACAATTAGGGGGATGCAGTTTTCATTAGAATCTGCCCACCTGAGCTTTAGGTTTATTGCTCAGCTCAAAGATGTTTTAGAAAAGCCATTGATCAATTTTTTTCTTCTTTTTTTTTTGTATCAGGTATTGAACTTGGGAACTTTCACTTGTGAGGCAGGCAGCAGCACCACTGAGCTAAATCCCTGACCTTACTGATCAATTTCTGATACCATCATGTACTACTCGAACATTTGCTGAGCATCTATTATGCACCCTGTACTGGGGAACAGCTATGAACAAGATAGATAAGGCACCTGTACTGAGACAGTGCTTGCATTTGGGGACAGACTGCTGATTTTTGCCCTCACTAATCCCCGTCTGTTGTTTGGTTCCATACCTGGCCTCTGACTGTACCATCACCTTAAACACTACTGGAAAATATGCTTTCTAAGCCTAAAACTTCTGAAAGGAGCGATAGGCCTGGAGGAGGGTGCTTGAGCTCATCTAGTGGCTGAGTTAGGTAGTATTGATGCCAATATTAAAAAAGGAAAATGAGGGCCAGGGATTTAGCTCAGCGGTTCGGTAGCCTGCCTTGCAAGCGCAAGGACCCGAGTTCAACCCCCGGTCCAAAAAAAAAAAAAAAAAAGGGAAAATGAATAAAAGAAAAGAGAGGGACCAAAACACAAATGCCACTGCAAGAGTCTCAGACTTTGAGTCCTCAGTATGGACCACGTTAAGTCTTCCAAGAATTTGTCCCAGCTGTACCTTCACCAACTGCACTATTCTTAAAGATTCTCCTTTAATTTTCCATTCCTTGCTGAAATTCTAGGGGAAAGGAAGCTAGATTCATCCCCTCCTTTCCTTCGTTACCATACCATACTACCCACTGTTAAGATGTTCTCTTGCTCTCAAGACCTGTATTTTCCCTCTGAGGCGCTTTCCTAGACAACCAGCCCAAGAGCCCTAACCAATCCTCACAAGACATGATGTCATGTCATACTGTATCTTAGGATGTTTCTCTTTTTCTAGAAACCAAACAAATGAAGTCTAGCCACTGAAATTCACACAGTTTTCTATAAGAGTAAACACTAATTACAATGACTCCAATATGTTTCAAAAACTTAATATTAAAGATAGAAGAAATGATGCTTTGAAAATTCTTGGCTTATGTGTGCAGTGCCTTTCTTTAATTATTTAAAAAATTACTTCATGTTTAGGTACAGGATCTCACAGGGTCCAAGCAGAAAACAGAAAAAAAATCCCAAGTCATTCGAGTTAGGAGATTTTTGTGAATTACCACTTACACAGGCGTGGTCAGTATTAAGGGAGCCCACAAGGGAAGTGGGGGTACTTAGACACTAATGGTACTGAGGCTGCACTACTGCACCTGTAGCTGGAAAGACATGGAGAGGGAACAGTGTTCCTGGAGAGCAAGGAGAGCTGGAACATGAAGAAGGGAGCTGCTGGGAGCCATAGTCTTTTAGGGATGCGGCTACTGTAACAATCATGGTGCTGGACAGAATAGGAATTGGGAGAAAAGATCTTAGCCTCCTGCTCCTCCGAAATGCTAAACTCCTTTGTCCACACCCAACCAAGAGTCAGAAATAAAGGGAGAAAGATGATGGAATCCCCAGCATAAGCCTCCCAGGACACTGAATCGGGCAGCAGAAGGTAGAGAATGGATAGAGTTGAACAGAGTGAACGGAATTCAGGAAATAATCAGCATAGGCTCTGTCTCTGTCTCTGTCTCTGTCTCTGTCTCTGTCGGTCTGTGTGTCTGTCTCCTTTCTCTCTCTCTCTCTCTCTCTCTCTCTCTCTCTCTCTCTCTCTCATATGCCTGGAATGTGGAATCACTCTCGCTAAAGGTCATTTTTATTGTCAAACCTCCCAAGAATTGTGGGTTGCTCCCCAACCCCGAACCCAAATGCTTTCTGAGAAGTATGGCTGATTACCCTTGTACCACTATCATTTTCATTTATTCAAGGATATTTATCGGGAACTTGCTATGTGTTGGGGAAGGTTCCCATTTGCCTCCAATTATCATTCTGATTTATGATGATTATTTTACCTCCCATTTTCCAGTGAATTTTAAATTGATCCTCTCCGCTTGGACCGCTATTTATATAAGCCCATCTGCTTTACTTTTTTGGCAAATCTCAATTTTGTTTGACTTGAGATAGTCTGTCCTGGACAATTGAATCCCAAAGGTTCTCAGAATTTAACAAATAGCTTATAGTTTTTTCTGGATTAAAATTTGAGATCCTGATAACCTTAATTTTTTTCAGGAGCAATACTTTTGATTCTATAAAGAACTTTCACAATAAAACTTGTTCTTGCTGAATTCAGATAATACTTGAGAATAAAACAGACTTTTTTAGGAGTCTATCTCAATGGCTTTCAAATTTTTTTACTGCAGCAGCACATAATTAAATATGTTTTATATTTCAACCCACTTTCATAAAATAAAATTCACTAGTACCATATTTTGATGTATTCCGTTCTGTTTATTTCTTTGAAAAATGCAGATAATATTCTACTGAATTGATTTTATAAAGCAATAATGGCTTACATTTAGCAATTTGGAAAGTACTGTCCTGCATAGCACCTTGAAAAGTTATTTTTAAAATAAACTCCATACTGGAATCTATATTTAAAGCTAGTTTGGATGTCCTTAAATATTTAATTTTCAGCCATCACCAGAAGTGGCAGGTATCACCAGTTTGTTTTCATTTTATATGACCAGCGGCATTTCCCTGGTCTCCTTTATTCCCCCTCTGGTCAAGGGTCCTGCACTGACTGCCAGTTTGGCTTGTGGCTCACCAAACCCTCTTCATAAAGACCACCCAATGTTTGCTTGTTGTAACCCAAAGAAGTCTGACTCTGTTTGACTAATAGTCATTGAATGAAAGGTTTCGCTGCAGAGGCAATACAAATGGGTACCTGACTTGGAAGGGTTACTGTGAGTGACTGGGGAGAGGGAGATGGGGGAATCCTCTCTCTCTACTCAGACCATGAAGGAAGGGAGCAGTGGGATAAAAGTCATAGCTACTGCTCCTCAGTCACTTACCATATATTAAAGACCTTTGGTTCTTATATCAATTTGGTGAATAGATTTTATATTTTCTTATTATTCTTATATTTTTGTATTTTTATTTTTATGTCAGGGAAGAAGGAAGTATTATTGCCATTTTGACAGGAAGAAACTGAAGTTGAGAGAGGTTTCATAACCTTCTGAAGCTCCCCTTAGTAGTTTATGGCAGAGGTAGGAATCAAGTTTATCTCTTTCTCAAACTATAATGCATTCTCTTTAGGATCTGAACTGGTATAGGAAAGGACAAGCCGAAACATGTCTTTTTGCTACTGGGGCATTAGGTGTGGGGTTTTAGCAATAGATGTTCTCTTCTAGCTTCTGGGATTCTACTAGGAAAGATCAATCCATGTGTCTGGATTTATCAGTTGGAATTTGGAATTTCAGAAGTAAAACAGACAAACTAGAGGACAACTAATAATATTATCATTCAGCTTGATAAAAAAAATCAAACACACTTCTAAGATCCACGTAGCTTGTATTTATCACTTATAATATAGTTTTTGTGCAAAAAGAAAAAGCACATTAAGAATAACAGACTTTTGAAACTTAATTAGTAACTAGTGAATGTCTATAGTTAATGCATATAATGTAATTTTGCTTTAATTTATAAATTAGTGATTCTGCATTTAATATAGGCAAACCATATCTGGTTGCCTTCTCTCCCCTAAGTGATAGGGAATTAAACATTGACATATCTAATGGACATATCTAGAGGAAGAGAAACTACAGAAATAAAGTGCCATTGTTGGTTTCTACTAGAAAGTTTGAGCAGGTATAGGAGGAAAAAAAAATAGGTGAGGGTTGCTCTAGGACTTGCAGGAAAAAGCAATTGAGATTGTTTCAGAAAAAAGGAAGTTAGCAGAGATTTGATGCTTTGAGAACCTAGGAAAAATCAGCATACACTTTAAAGACATAATGGTTTTAGTCATCTGACAGGCAAATAACTAGTTGTAACATGTTTTATAAAGAATTTCTTTGAAACACTGGTTAAAAGAGACAGAGGAGTAGGCTCACAGTCAAGGTCAGAGATCAAGTACACCTTCTTGGTACACAGACTTTTTCATTTTTTTTAATGTGATACTGCTATAGTTATACTTGATAAATAAGTTAACTAGAGATTTTTTTTAAGCCTAATGGATATCTATACATCTTACATAAACACTGGTAAACTATCTCTCTGGGCTTTAGCTTTCCAGGATTTAAATTGTCCATGAAATGACTGTTTTGCTTATTACATTAGCCAAAAAGAAAGCAAAGCAAATCACTTCATGGTTACAACTTGAGGTAGAGGTAGGAGTAGGGATAGGATTCCTCTTAGATATTTCTCTGAACATTAAATGTGGATAATAAAACTATAAAAAATAGAAAAATAACTTGGGAGATAAAGCACATATAATTCTAAAATGCCCACATTACATAAGTAATACAAATTCTAAAGATGTGGACCCACAGAGTGAAATGTCTGTGATGCCTGAGAAGTAATATGGATCCTCAAAATGAATCCTAAGAACCAATGATGTACCACCTTTAACCATAGAAAAGCGATCTAGATCTATCATTATAGTATAAACACTAAGACAAACCAGATATTAACCTACGGTAAATATCTACTCAGTGGAACAACTTTACCTCCACTAACAAAATAAAGGATAAATAATAGCAAATAGATTTTTCTCAGACTTGAAGGGGAACAAGAGGGAGGGCAGAGAAAGGAGATGGGGGAAAAAGAACTGAAAAGAAAAAAACAAGGGAAATAGAGCTCTTGTAAATAGGAAGGAGACCAAGAGTTGGGAGGAGCACAGAGGGATGGGAACAAAAAGAATTAAGATGTGTTATTTGTATATACCAACTCCCCAAAATAAATGTAATCATTAAGTATTGTAAACATGTACTGATAAAAAGAAATCCAAAGAATCTGAAAATTTCTTTTGTTTCTCAGTGAAATGCCCAGAAGATTTGCAATGAAGACAGCTGCAGTCATAGTTGTGCATAAGCACCATCTCTGAAAATTCACAGGTGACTTTCTAATGATTTTTTGCCTGGCATTTGGCTTTGAAAACAAAGATGTTTTCATTAGATTTGACCTACTTGGGAGAGAGAGATAATCAGCATCTTATCAAGCCTCATTCAGTATTTCCGTCCAGACATTCTGCTTTGGGGATCACATTAGTACTCTGAAAGCTGTGGCTCCAAGCTAGAGGCCAATGAACCAATATATAAGTTTTCACTAAAGTTAATAGTAAAGATTAGATACCAATTCGGCAGGCAAGCCACACTATCTGAAAGGTGGACTTGGGGTGCTCCAAATAAATCCAATCTTCTCTGTTGGTCTTGGAGTACATGTAAAGGAAAAGAACAGAAAACTAGGTTTGGGGCCAAGGTGAAGAAATGCTCTGTAGACTCAAATGTAGGAGTGTTTAGAAGGGCCAACTCTCATTAAGTAGGATTTGCTCTTTTCCAATGGGACATGCACAGGAGCTGGTTTTTAAAAAAGTATTAACTTATTTTTTCCCCCTTCAAGCTTAGCCAGAGACCTCATGGAGGTCTAAACTTAAGCCAAGCTTGATCTGTTTTAATTCAACCACTGTTGATTTATGGCTTAGCAAAAAATGTCTGAGAATTTTTTTAAGCTACAAAAAATTTTATTTTTACCCCAATTTGACTCACTCACATCTCAAATACAGCTGAAGGGATATTTCTCAGACTTTCAAAGACAAAGCCGTCTTTGGAATGGGAGTTCTGAAAGCTTCAAATCTCAGTGAGAAATCCTGAGAGTTTACATACAAGTAAAAAAAAATATATATCGGAGAGCCATATGACACATTAAATATGTTCATTTGATTCCCTTTGAAGAGACTAGAATAGAATCAATCCAAGGTTGAAGAGGAAGTATGGGATGGGTGGGAAGGTTTTACGAGGGTTTGTACCAGGTAAGACACAAAAGTTCTCTCTCTTCTTTCTTCTATTCACTCTTTTCTGTTCTTACCATTCCCATTCTTTCAAAAAAAGCAGCCTAAATAAACCCCTCTAGTTGTCTAGACAAAAAGTGATCAGTGATGAATTTACTTCTCTACCTGGTTCTGGAATGTACGCTGTTACACAGTACAACCACAAGTTGGACTAATAAATAATTATCAAGAGTGAGAAAAAGCCAATACCAAGCCACTAGTGCCTCTCAGCTCTAACTTTTAATGGGACTAACTCAGGAGATGCTTTCTCTGCTTCCCGTGACATTCAGCTGGGGCTGTGAGATTTAACCATTTCTTAGCTGTGGTTTTATAGTGTTTTTACTGTATGAGCACCTGCCTTTCTCATAAGACCATAAGCTCAGTGAAATCAAGAGCCAGTCGTATGTATGCTCTGTCTCATCTTCTGCAGCTGAATCCTCCAACCAGTCCCTGTCCTCGAAAGAGCATGTGGAAGAACCACAGAAAAGATGTGGCGGGGTCTCGTGATGTGGAGGAAGAACAAAGCACACAGTGCACCAGCTATGCAGCAGCTCTGCTCACGAACATTAATACACATCCAGGGCTGAGACTGCCTTGGCTCAGACCTGGAATTACTAATTTTTACTTCTAATGCTTTAAATTCCTTCCATGGCTTTAGTTTTTCAATGTCAAGAGCAGGCTCCCGTCTTCTTTCCTGTGATGACACGTAACTCCTCAGAGACCAAGGCCACATCTGTGATGTGCATTAGCTTTCTTTGCCCCAGACATCAGCCTGGTTGCATATCAGATAATGGATTAATGGGCAAAAAATGTATCTGACTATGAAAACAAATCAAATAATGGAACAGAATCACTGAGAAACCTGTCTGATTCTTTTCATATACACTTTTCACCATGGCATAGGTGTCTGTTAATGAATTTATAAGAACAAAATCTTAACATTTATTTAGTATTTACATTTTTCTCCGTGTTATAAAGACCACTTCATAGGTGTTGTCTCATTTCACCCCTACAATTCTAGGAGTAGCTACCATTTACAATTAGGTTTTATTGCTGTTGAATATGTACCATCAATACTTTTGATTCATTTGTTCCTTAAATGAGGATGTAATGTCTTTGTGTGGTTGTCTTGCACTATGTGAAGACTGTATAGTTTGTTGTATTAGGTTCTTTAAGAAAGAGATTTCTCAAAGCCATTTGCTCAAAGGAAAAACAAAACATGCTGGGCACAGTGGAACATGTCTGTAATCCTACCCACTCAGGAAGCCGAGGCAGGAGTATTCCATATCTGAGGCCAGCCTGGCAGTTCAGCAAAACCTTGTCTCAAAATAAAAAGGGCTGGATGTACAGCTCAGCAGTGGGGCAGCCTTGGGTTCCATCCCCAGTACTACAAAGCAAAGCAAAACAAACCACATTTACTTCTTTCCCATGCGAAAGTTCAGAGAACAGATTTTAGTTTGGTTTTAGTTTAGTTTAGTTTTAGATTTTGGTTGATGCTATACTTCACATGCTTTAAAATCATTCAGGGACCTTGGTCCCATCCAAAAATATTTTCTTCACCATCTCCTAGGTGTGACTAGTGTTATGGTATCAGACTAGAAGTGTCACATATATCTACTTTCTTTGGAGAAAATGTAGTCATATGGCCATGTCTAAGTTCAAAGGAGGCTGAGAAATGTGTCAGTGGCAGCCATGGTCTACAGTTCTGTTACTAGAAAAGAAGGTGATGGAACTTAAGTGAGTACCTCACTCCGACCGTCACAGTCTTTAATAAATACGTATAATTAATTTTAAACCTAGGCTTCTGTCTTATTCATATCCATCCTTATCACAAGCCTAAACATCTACCACAAAAGTAATAAATTCTTGCCGAAGGTACCAGCATCTCTCCTTTGTTATTTGAGCAGACATCAGTAGTCGCCCATGGCTGTCCGCGGCTGAACTTGAGTACCCCTCAGAAACTTTTGCAACTCTGTATCCCTGGAAGCCAAGAATAATAAAGGGGAACTAGGGCAGGATCTGAGTCCTATTAGCCATTCCTGATTGTGGGCATTCAGATACTGAATATAGAAGAAAACAACCATAATAGTTTTCTTTCCATTTCCATGGAAAGAGGTATGTTTGTTGTTGTGATTTTAAAATATGTCTTCGTATACTTTGGCACATCTTCTTCTGACAGGAAGAGTTCAGTTCCTCTCTCCTTGAGTATGGACCATTGATGACTCAACTCTAACATGTGCCAGAAGTAGAGCAGTGTGGCTTCTGAAGCTGCCATCAAAGGTATAGCTTCCACCTCATTCTCATTCGTTTCTGAAATGCCTACTCTGGAGAAGGACAATTCCATGTCCTGAGGACAATTATGCAGCTTTGTGAGGTCCATCAGGATAGGGATCAAGGACCTTGCCAACAACCAGAATTTACCTGGCAGCCACCTGAGTGAGCTGCCTTGAACCTCAAGTGCCAGTCAGTCCTCAAATAATGCAGCCCTGTCCAACATCTAACTGCAACCTCACTACAAAACTGTCCAGCTGAATTGTTCCCTAATATCTGACCTATAGAAACCATAAGAGAATAAGAGTTTTGATTGTGTTAAGTGATCAAATAAATAAACAAACAGACAAATTAATTGATTAACTGCCTTTTAAGAACAGGATCTTGCCTAGTATCAGGAGAAGTATGTGAGAAGCAGAGATGTGAAGATTTTATTGTTATTTTTTAGTTGTTGGGCTATTGTTTTGGTGATTGCACCATCTGACTTGGACTAGACCAGCAATAAGACCATCTTAGGCTGTGCAAAGCTGATTTACTGTTTAAAGAAGAAAATAACTGGATTCACGAGAGAGGAAGTAATAGCTATTCTGTAGTTTCCTCAGCCAGCTAGATCACAAGAGTGGTAATAGCTCAAAACTCTTCCTTTTCCATTCCCAGATACTTCTCAGATGGTACTTATTTACTACAATTCCACCTGTCTTGTGGTGGTTACTCTCAATTGCTCTTGAGATATCAGGTCCTACCAAGTACTGTCTGGAGACCCCGTGCTGCTGTACAGTGCTTGCCTCCTTTCTACTTTGCATGGTTCTGTTTTCCAAGGTTATTTACAAAAATGGAGAAAAACATACGAAATATCAAAAAAGACAAAAAGTAGTTGCCTCTGAGAGCAAGAATAGAGCACAAGGAGAGTTAGGACTTTTTCCCCCCACATAAACCTAGTAGTAGTATTTGACTTAAATTCATTTATTCAATGTGATCTTAATTTTGTGCTACTTATATATGCCTATAGGTATATATTATACATATCTGAATAACAACACATATTATTTATATATGCCTAGATTATATCTATGCATATTTGAAAGTATAGAAGTAGTCATATAAAAATCAGCTATGGCTATCTTAGGAGTAATGGTTAGGATTGAGCGTAAGTTTTAGCTTTCATTTGAATTGCTATCTCTATTTCACAGGCTTCTGTAAAGAAAACACATTAGTTAATCTTCACAAATTTTTGTTAAGAGGGAGAGAAAGAGAACAGATAGGAAAGGCACCTCTCTGGGAATCAGGAAATACAAGCTTAGCCCCAGCTGTATTACTAATTCACTATGATCTTGAACAAACTGTCACTTCCCTGGGCTCTGGCTGATCCAACTCTGAAAGCAAGACTGAGCTAAGCTCTAAATAAAAACATTGCTGAGAGTTCCTTCCCATTTACTTTGCTGCCAATTCTGTGTGGGAAGCATTACCTACAGCAGTGGTTTTCAAGCCTTAGTAGCTTTAGAATCACTTGGAGGACTTTGTAGAAAACAGGTTGGTTTCTGACTCAGTTTGTGCCTCAGTTTGTTTTGTACCTGTAACAGAATATCTGAGGCTGAGTAATTTATGAAAAAAAGTTTATTTAGCTCACTGTTCTGGAGGCTGGATGTCCTAGGTCAGGCAGCTATACATAATGAAATCCTGGTACTGGATCATATCATGGGGAGTACATGGGGAAGAGGCAAAACGGAAGGGAAGGGAAGGGAAGGGAAGGGAAGAGAAGGGAAGGGAAGAAGGGAAGATTCATAAGGGACAGACAGATCATATTCAGGCTATACCAGCGCGTGTTCAGGGCGCATTTCTAACAAGTTTCCAGGTGGTGATGCCGCTGCTCTGAGGCCCACACTTTGAGGGCCACTGGCTTATTTTATCTGATGTAGGACTTACAACATACCTGTGTTATGTTTTGGATTTGAAATATGTATCCCCAAAGTTCATGAACTAAAAAGGCTTGGTTGCCAGCTGATGAGATTTTTTGAGATCGTGATGAAGGCTATAACTTCATCAAATAGCTTAATTTACCGATGGATTCATAGTTTGAAGGTGATAGAAATAGGATGTAGGACCTAATTGAAGGGAATGGATCATGTGGCTATGACCTTGGGAGCTATATCATGGTCTCCTCTGGCTCTTTTCTTCTATCTCTGCCTCCCAGCTGCTGTGAGGTAGGTAGCTTTGTTCCACTATGCCCTTCCACTATAAACAGTCTAACTCACTTTAGGACCACAGCATTGGAACTAACGGATCAGGACTGAAACCATGAGCTAAAATAAACGTTTCCTCAGTAAGTTATTTTTTCCAGGTATTTTGTCACACCACAGAAAAGTTAACTAACACAGCTCATGTGATATAATACTTTCAGTTATTTAGGTGGGAAAAGTAAGGCTCATAGAGAACTCACAGATAGTCAGAACTATAGTTTGAGTCTAAGATTGTTTGAATCAAAACCCTTGCTATGCCTTTCTTTGGGGTTCCTTCTTCCAGTTTCGGCTTACTGTTTTTAGTTTACAAACAGTAAAAGCCAGGTATCTGAGACCAAACCAATGTTCTCCAGAAAAATCCCAACAAAGTCCCAAGCATGAATAGCTACAACCTGTGGTTGATGAATCAGGGGCTGAACCCCGCAGCAGAACCGAGAGGAAGGTAGCAAGCTGTAAACCTACAGGGACTGCAGTCTCATTAAGGCAGCCTTTTCTTTCCCTTCTGTTCTAGTTTCTTTGGCATTAACTGGGTCTCTTAATCTATAGTCATTTGGTGGGTAAAAAATAGTGGAAATGAGCTTTCTTCCATGTCGACTTTTCTTTCAAATTCATGATGATGTGGTGTCTCCCCTGCCCCGCCTTTCTCTGTAGAGTGAATTCTCGGGTAAGTAGCAAATGATTTCAAATGCATGCCGATTGCAGTGGACAGCTGCCAAGAGAGAAGGGAAAATAAATTGGTGACAGGAAGTGTCGCAGTTCATGGAAAAGGCAACGAGGATATAGCTGAGCGAGCCCATGACACCTCTGGGTGCACATGCTGAAAAACTTACCCAGACAGGCTGCACAGCCACAAATCTCCTAGTAATTCATTAAGTAAGGGGAAACGCTCCCAGAAACATTTCTCTCTGTTCCCAACACCCTTTGTCTCTTAATTTCCAAACTCCGGGTTCATTCCTATGTCAAGCAAGCCTGGCTGAGTCTCTCTAAACATTTCCTTCATTCGTGATGAACACCCTGCAGCAACTGATGCTTTGACTCTAAGTGATTTAACAGCCTGAGGTTTCTAAGCTTTAGGATCACAAGACGGATATCTGATCAGTGAGAACTAGAACCGGCATCAAAAACAGCGTGAAGAATGGTGGAAACGAAAGTGAATCATATGGAACTTTGCCCAATAAAGGGATTACAAGGCTTGGAAGAACCATTTCAGGGATAAAAAATTATATTAAAAGTTATTCATAAGATAAAATAAGATGACAGAGCCAAGATTAATCGTATCAATCATATCAATAAATGTAAATGGGTTTCATTTACACTTATTACTAAAAAAAAGGATTTATCAAA